CGGCCACACGGCCGCCGCCCCTGCCTCACCCCAGCCCCACCGGTGGACACCAGCTCTGCTCAAAAGCTGAGGGGGTTTTGTTTGGTTTTCATCTGTGCTTTACTTTGGCTCTAACTCCAAGGGTTTCTTTGCTGCCATTCAGTACGAGGCGCAGACCTCTCTTCCTCTCCACTTCCCGTGCCCCCTCCACCCCCAGGAAGAGAAGCTTATCTCTTGAAACATGGGCCAAGCTGGGTGTCTTGGGGTCCTCCTTCCGCCGTTGCGCTTCCTTCCCAGATGGGGAGCGTGGATCCTCTTCAAAGGGCACAGGCAGGCCCGTGGCGTCCTCCACCGTGATGTCCAAGGTCGCTTCCCCTTCCTGAGCCACCTGGCGGAGCGCTGGCAGCTGCCTCCTCCTGCAGGGCGACCTGGGGGGGGGGCGGGCTCAGCTTCAGGGCCGCTCCCAAGCCCTGCTCACTCTGCAGCCCTCCCCATCCGAGAGCAGAAACAGGCTCATGCTACACACAGTGTTTTGTTTTCTCTATTCTTCACTTACATCTTAAGCACGTTTTCTGTCTTCTATAGCAAAAGTTTGAAATGGGTGTCTGCCCTTTTCCTTACTGTGCCTCAGCTGTGAGCACCCGCTGCGTGCTGATGCTCCCGTGCGGGCTTGGCAGCGTGGGCTGAGTGGGGACAGACCCCAGGCCTACCACGTGTGTGCTCACCACTGCCGCTGTCTTACTTGCAGGTTCGGGACTTTCTTCTGCGTCCGAGATGGGGACTTGACTTTGCTGTCTGACGCTCTTGTTCCTTGGCTGGTGCTCTACCAGCTGAGCTGCGCCTCGGCTCCCTTGTGGATTTTCACCATTAGAAATGGTGCCTCTACCTACTGCTTTAGCTCACAGTTTCCTGTGTTGTGATTTGTGGTGTGGACTACATTCCCAGCAGTGGGACATTGGAGGAAAGCTGGGTAGGGGCGGGGAGGGAGGGAGGGGTGGGGGCTAGGACTGTAGACTTGAGGTCCAGGACTCAGCAGGATGCCTGCTGGCCAGGTGAGCCGCCTCACAGGTACAGTGCAGAGACAGAGACCCCTCAGGATAGGCAAGGCCGTGGCTTTCCTTAAAGGACAGAATGGAAAATTCCTAGAGTACCTCCAGGAACCTCAGTGTCTCCTAAAGTAAATTTCAGCTGGGGGGGGAGGGGGAAAAAAGCTCTGAAAGCTAGCTGGGTTCTGGTGGTTCATGCCTGTAATTTTTTTTTTTTTATTGTAAAGCTACTATACAGAGGGTTACAGTTACATGAGTGAGGTTATGAGTACACTTCCTCTTGAACATTGTTACCCCCTCCATTGTTTTCCCCCTACCATCCCCTCCCTCCCTCCCTTCCCCGAGGTTCTTTTTTTTTTTTTTTTTTTTTTTTTTGATTGTGATTAAATGATTACATAATTTCAAAGTCACAAGTTCATTCTAACTTCCCTGGAGCAAATTGTCTACCACAGTCTGTAATATATAACAGTGTTCACATGTTATATACCATATTTGTGATCAGCAGCATGAGGATATTTAGTAGTGGTTCAACCAGATGAGCGGGAGTTCTTTGTTTCTTAAGTCCTGTTAGTTTTGTCGTATCACCTAACCTTTTGGATTTAGCATCCACTTATGAGGGAGACCATGTACCGTTTGTCTCTTCGTTCTTGGCTTACCTCGCTCAACATGATTCCTTCTAGCTCCATCCATTTCCCTGCAAATGCCATTATTTTGTCATTTCTAATGGCTGCATAATATTCCATTGTGTATAGATACCACAATTTTTGGATCCATTCATCTGTGGTGGGGCACCTAGGTTGTTTCCATATCCTAGCTATTGCGAACAGTGCTGCAATAAACATGGAGGTGCATCTGTCCTTGTATATTGGTTCCTGTTGTTCAGGGTAGATGCCTAGAAGTGGTATGACTGGGTTGTAAGGGAGATCAATCTTTAGCTTTCTAAGGACCCTCCAGACTGCTTTCCAAAGTGGTTGTATAAGTGTACATTCCCACCAGCAGTGTAATAGGGTTCCTCTTTCTCCACATCCCCTCCAGCATTTGTCGTTGGCTGATTTGTGGATGTGGGACATTCTGACTGGGGTAAGGTGGTATCTCAGGGTTGTCTTTATTTGCATTTCCTTCACCACTAGGGATGATGAACATTTCCTCATGTGTTTCTTTGCCATTTTTATTTCTTCATTTGAGAAGTCCCTCTTTAGTTCCCTTGCCCATTTAGTAATTGGTTTGTTAGGTTTGGGAGGGATTAGTTTCTTGAGTTCCCTGTATATACAGGATGTTAACCCCTTGTCTGATATATTGCTGGTAAATATTTTTTCCCAATTAGTTGGTTGTCTTTCTAGCTTAGTTGCGATAGATTTAGCTGTGCAGAAGCTTTTTATTTTAAGGTAGTCCCATTTGTCGAGTCTCTCTCCAACTTGTTGTGACCCTGGGACTCTGTTCAGGAAGTTCCTTCCTGTGCCTATTAGTTCAAGTGTCTCTCCTACTCTGTCCTGCAGTAGTTTCAGAGATTCAGGTTTAATGTTAAGGTCTTTAATCCATTTTGAGTTGATGTTGGTGCATGGTGATAGGCTGGGGTCCACTTTTAGTTTTCTGCATGTGGCTGCCCAGTTTTCCCAGCACCAGCGGTTGAAGAGGCTGTGTTTCTTCCATTGTATGTCTTTGGCTCCTTTGTCGAATATCAGCTGGCTGTAGGCCTGTGGATTTATATCTGGATCTTCTATTCTGTTCCATTGGTCTTCGGGTCTGTTTTTGTGCCAGTACCATGCTGTCTTTGTGATTATAGCTCTGTAGTAGAGTTTGAAGTTCGGCATGGATAGCCCTCCCATATTGTCTTTATCCCCTAGAATTGTTTTGGCTATTCTAGGTCTTTTGTTGTTCCATATAAATTTTTGGACTGTTTTCTGTATTTCAGTGATGTACGTCATTGGGATTTTAATAGGAATTGCATTGAATTTGTATATTAGTTTTGGAAGTATCACCATCTTTACTATATTAAGTCGCCCTATCCAGGAGCATGGGAGGTCTTTCCATTTCCTAGTGTCTTCTGCAATTTCTTTCTTTAACTTTTTATAGTTCTCATTAAATAGTTCTTTTACATCTTTGGTTAGGTTAATTCCTAAATATTTTATTTTTTGGGAGGTTATTGTGAATGGGGTTGCTCCCTTTATTTCCCTCTCTTCCTGTGCATTATCAGTGTATAGGAAGGCAACTGATTTTTGTGGGTTTATTTTGTGTCCTGCTATTTTGCCGAAGTGACTTATGATTTCTAAAAGTTTGGGGATGGAGTTTTTGGGATCGTGGAGGTATAGTATCATGTCGTCTGCAAAAAGGGATAGTTTAACTTCTTCTTTCCCTATGCGGATCCCTTTAATGTCTTTTTCTTGCCTTATTGCCCTGGCTAAGGGTTCTAGGACTATGTTGAAGAGGAGTGGAGACAGTGGACATCCTTGCCTTGTTCCTGTTTTTAGGAGGATTGGTTGTAGCTTTTCCCCATTAAGTATAATATTGGCTATTGGTCTATCATAAATGGCTTTTATTGTTTTTAGAAATGTTCCTTCTATTCCTATTTTCTCCAGAGCTTTTAGCATGAATGAATGTTGAATTTTATCAAAGCATGCCTGTAATTTTAATTAGCCAGGAGGCTGAGATCTAAGGATTGCGGTTTGAAGCCAGCCCAGGCAGAAAAATCTGTGAGACTCCTATCACCAGTTAACCAGCAAAAAGCTGGAAATGGAATTCTATCTTAAGTTGTAGAGCATCAGCCTTGAATGAAAAAGCTAAGCAAGAGCTCAAGTCCCTGAGTTCAAGTTCAGTACTGGCACTTACAAAAAATAAAAAGCAAGCAACAACCGAAATCAACCCTTTTCTACTCTTAATGGGTTTGAAGCATCAGCCTCTTTTCCTCTCTCTGTTCAGGAAGGTTATTTATTGGAGAATTGATTGGGCAGCAGTATTTCCAATGTTAGTCGGGCTGTTAAAAAGTTTTATGGAGCTGGGCGCCGGTGTCTCACAACTATAATCCTAGCTACTCAGGAGGCTGAGATCTGAGGATCGCAGTTCAAAGCCAGCCCGGGCAGGAAAGTCCGTGAGGCTCTTATCTCCAAATAATCACCAGAAAACGGGAAGTGGTGCTGTGGCTCAAGCGGTAGAGCTAGAGCACTCGCCTCGAGCTGAAGATCACAGGGACAGCGCCCAAGCCCAGAGTTCAAGCCCCACAACTGACCAAAAAAAAAGTTTTTATGAATGTTATGGGGGCGGGGGTGCCTCTGTCTGTGGGTTTACCCGCTGCGGACATTTTGTGTGGCCTGTGTCAGCCTTGCCCAGTAGGTGCTGACGTGTGGTGGAGATGGCACGTGTGCCATTCCTGAAGCGGGCCCGCCCCTGGCTGGTGCGGGGTGTGCCCGCTGGGCCTGCTCCAAGGTCTGGCCCGGCAGAGGAGAAGTCTGTTGTTCTGAGGTCGCGCAGGCGCGCTCCTGGTGGGGGTGGGGTCCTCCTGCCATAAGTATCTGTGCTGCGGAGGGAGTGACGTGGGCCCCAGGGCACAGCCACCTGGTCACCAGCATCATCGTTCTGATGGGGTCCCAGTGGGCGGGGTGCTGGGGAGAAGAGTCTCCCATGCCTGGAAATGGGGGCAGAGCCCACCGAATTCCTGTGATGTAAGATTCCTTTTCTGGTGTCTGGCAGTGGAGGCCCATCCAGCTCTGGTTCCTCACCCACCGGAAGTGTTTTGTGCTCATCCCCGTGGTATCTCCTTGCTGGCTGGTGGGCCTGCCGTGCACAGGCCCTGTGGGGTGGGAACTCGGGGCAGGGGTCCGTGCCCCTTGCCGCCTGGCAGGCGGGTCCTCCTGTGGACCCCAAGCCCGGGGCTCACGGGACAGGCCGTGCTCACTTAGTGGGGAGACACCATGGTTTGTCTCAGAAGTTTTGTCAGAGCAAGAAAAAATTGTAATGCCATTTTCTTCTTTTGTTTTTCAGGTATTCTTTTGGTAAGTGAGAATCCTTTAAGACAGTCGGCGGGCGTTTTTGTGTGGGGTATGTATCTGCTTGCGTCCGGCTTGCCCTTGTTGACAGCCTGTTTCAGCCTTCGAGGTGGCTCTGGGAGGTTCCGCAGCCCACGTGTGTCTCGGCTCTGGTGGCTGCCGGCGCAGTGGCCACGGAGGAGGCTCTTGGGGTGTGCCAGCCTGTGCGGTCCACACGGTGGAGCAGCTAGAGTGGATGGCAGGGCAGGCCTAGGACAGCAGTGTTGTTTGGTGGGGCCCTGGGCCCCACCCCGGCCTCCCCCGGCTGTGGGCTGGGGGGGGGGGGGCGCAGTCTGGGCTGTGTCCTGTTTGCCTCACGAGGCGTTGGGCCTGGGACCCCGGGCGCTGCCTGAGGCCGCTGTCCTCGAGCTCACGAGCTTAGTGTTGGCACCGTGCTAGAAGTGCAGCTCTGCTGTCACATGCCAGGCGCACGCTGGGGCAGCACTCGGGGCCCTGGTTGGGCGGGCGGGCGGGCGGACGTGAATGTGGTGCCTAGAGATAGATGCGCCCTCAGCCTGTGGGGAGGGGTCCCAGGACATAGGGGTGGGGCCTTGCACTGGGATCTGCTGGCACGAAGGCCCTCTCTTACCAAGTCTCTGCTGACACAGGCTCTCGGGGAGAGGGAGCAGCAGCCCATCAGCATACCGGGGTGGGGGCAGCACTGCCCCGAGGCCAGCTGTGAGCCAGGCTCTGCCTCCTGTGCCCCTTGGACTGTGCGGCTAGGCCAGGTTCGGCCGCTCAGCACCCCAAGCCAGACTCTGGGGAGACTACCTTGCAGGAGGCCGCCCTGTGCCTGCTAGCTGCTTTCTTTTTTTTTTTTGGTCCGGTCGTGGGGCCTGAGCTCTGGGCCTGGGCGCTGTCCCTCAGCTCTTCAGCTCAAGGCGAGCGCTCTACCACTTGAGCCACAGTGCCACTTCCGGCTTTTTTCTTTTTGCTTATGTGGTGCTGAGGAATCGAACCCAGGGCCTCATGCATGCAAGGCAAGCGCTCTACCACTGAGCCACGTTCCCAGCCCCTGTGCCAGCTGCTTTCTGCATTAACCTGTGTCTCCCGTGGGGTCACTGCTGCTTTGTGTTGAGTGGTAACATCAGGAACATAGCAGCAGTCCGCTGACCGCCATCTCTGGTCGTAGGACCTGCCTGCTCTTTGCTGAGCTGCCCCGGTGGTCCACACATCCCACCGTGTGGTTCAGACCCAGGACAGGGCAGTGTCACTGCGGCCCTCCTGCTCCAGCTACGGTCCACCTTTGCCCTGCTGTCCTGGAGGGGAGGGCAGTGTTAGGGAGTGGTGGTGGCTGCCTTCCGGGGAAGGAGCAGGTGGCTGCGGGAGCCCAGCTCTCCAGCGGGCGCCTCTTCTCGACTCCATTTAATTCAGTGTGTTGTGTCTGTCTTGTGGGGTAGGCTGTCACGAGTGTGCAACGCTGCGGGCCGGGGCACTGGGCTGTGGGCACTGTCCCCGACCCGTGCCCTTCAAGTACGTTGAGCCTCCGCGGCTACATGTCCAGACTGCTGGCTGCTGCTTTGGTATGTTTTTGTTTTTATTGGCCAGTCGTGGGGCTTGAACTCAGGGCCTGGGCACTGTCCCTGAGCGTGTCGGCTCAAGGCTAGTGCCCTACTCCTTGAGCCACAGTCCCACTTCTGGCTTTTTTCTGTGTATGTGGTGCTGAGGAATGGAACCAGGGCTTCATGCCTGCTAGGCAAGCGCTCTACTGCTAGTCCCCCTTCCCAGCCCTGGTGATATATTTTTTTAATAATTTTAAAATTGAGTTTTATAAAAAGCTGCATTTGTGCTCTGCGCGTTGGGCTGTGGCCGTGGGAGCGAGTCCCCTCGGGAGCCCTCACACACCCTGGATCCTCTGTCCATCAGCTAGCAAGGAACTCCAGCACCCCTTGTCTGCGTGGGTGCAGGGACGCTGTGTCGCCATGGCTGTGGGGGGTCCGTGCCCCGCAGCAGGGGCTCTGGGCCCTGTGGGGGGTCCGCGCCCCGCAGCAGGGGCTCTGGGCCCTGTGGGTGGTCCGCGCCCCGCAGCAGGGGCTCTGGGCCCTGTGGGGGGGTCAGCAGGGGCTCTGGGCCCTGTGGGGGGGTCCGCGCCCCGCAGCAGGGGCTCTGGGCCCTGTGGGGGGGTCAGCAGGGGCTCTGGGCCCTGTGGGGGGGTCCGTGCCCCACAGCAGGGGCTCTGGGCCCTGTGGGGGGTCCGCACCCCGCAGCAGGGGCTCTGGGCCCTGTGGGGGGGTCGCACCCTGCAGCAGGGGCTCTGGGCCCTGTGGGGGGTCGCACCTTGCAGCAGGGGCTCTGGGCCCTGTGGGGGGGTCAGCAGGGGCTCTGGGCCCTGTGGGGGGTCCGTGCCCCGCAGCAGGGGCTCTGGGCCCTGTGGGGGGTCGCACCTTGCAGCAGGGGCTCTGGGCCCTGTGGGGGGGTCAGCAGGGGCTCTGGGCCCTGTGGGGGGTTGCACCCTGCAGCAGGGGCTCTGGGCCCTGCGGGGGGGTCAGCAGGGGCTCTGGGCCCTGTGGAGGGTCTGTGCCCTGCAGCAGGGGCTCTGGGCCCTGTGGGGGGGTCAGCAGGGGCTCTGGGCCCTGTGGGGGGGTCAGCAGGGGCTCTGGGCCCTGTGGGGGGTTGCACCCTGCAGCAGGGGCTCTGGGCCCTGCGGGGGGGTCAGCAGGGGCTCTGGGCCCTGTGGGGGGGTCAGCAGAGGCTCTGGGCCCTGTGGAGGGTCTGTGCCCTGCAGCAGGGGCTCTGGGCCCTGTGGGGGGGTCAGCAGGGGCTCTGGGCCCTGTGTGGGGTCTGTGTCCCCGCAGCAGGGGCTCTGGCCAGGCAGGGAGCCCCTATCGATCATAGTCATGTCTAAGGTGGCCACATTTTTTTTTATGCCAGTACTGGGCTTGAACTCAGGACCTCACACTCTTGCTTGGCTTCTTCACTCAGGGCAGGTGCTCTGCCACTTGAGCCATGCTTCCACTTGTGGCTTTTTGGTGGTTAATTTGAGGTAAAGGTCTTACTGGCCTTGCTGCCTGGGCTGGCTTTGAACTGCGATCCTCAGATCTCAGCCTCCTGAGAAGCTAGGGTGAAGGCGTGAGCCACCAGTGCCTGTCATGACCACATTTTTTAACATATTTTCAGCTGTCCTAAAATAAGGTCCCGCTCTGCTGTGGCCGTCATGGAACTGCCAGTGTCCAGGGCTGCCTGCCTCTCTCACCCTCCTGTGGCTAGACAGGTGTGATCGTGGAGGGCAGAGGTGCTTGGCGGTATGCTTTCCAGGGCACAGGAAGCTCACTGGCTGTTGCCTGCCTTCTCTGCAGGAAGTCAGGCTTGCTGGGCGGGGCAGTGCTCCTGGTAACAGGCATATCAGGTGAGGGTTGCCCGGTGCCCTGAGGCTAAGCATCCTCTGCTCCCTGTGGGACTGTGTGTCCTTTCAGAACTGCTGCTGCCTCTGTGCAGACACAATTCGGGGCCTCACCAGGCTGAGCAGCAGGGGCTCGGGTCAGCGCAGCTCCCAGCATGCACGGCTGCCCAGCCTAGCGCAGCGTGGCTGGCTGCGGACCCCATGGGGTTCCAGGTGTGCTGCGCCCTGGGGGAGGAAGCGTGTAGGCTGCGTGTGCCGTGTGCGAGGTTCGTACTTGTGGGGGCCCTCAGCCTCGTGTCTAAGGTTGATCGGCGGCTCATCCCGAGCTTTCTGCAAGGTGTCTCTCCCAGGCTCCCCATTTGGGCTTGAGCCACAGGGAGGGCCAGCGGGATGAGCCACGCAGTCCCGGGGCTCTGCCAGGCCCGGAGGCCTGCCAGAGGTCCGCACAGGCCACCCTTCCAGCTCCGTTCTTGGATTTGGTAGGGGCCTCAGGAAGAGACTGGAATTGTCCAGGGCTTTAGGCCCCAAAGCATCCTCTCATTCCTTTGGTATCTGGTTTGGAGAACCTGGGCAGTGAGTGGTCTGTGGATGGTGGAGATGTGTGCCCCCACCATCTCTGCTGGCCCTGGGTGGAGGCTGGGAATGGTGGGGGTAGACAGGACTGCGTGTGGGTGGACTTCGTGCCCCAGAAATTACACCAGGCTCAGCAAGTCCAAACCCCCCCCCGCCCCCACACACACACTGAAGTCCAGGGTGGAGTCTGCCAGGATGGAGGCTGGGCAGCAAAGGGTAAAGGACCTGGGGAGTCAGGAGCAAGGATCCAGACCCTGCACCAGGAAGCATTCCTTCATCAGAACACTATTCCAGTGTTCTTTCTAGTGGTCCTAGGGTTTGTACTTGCTTGGCATACACTCTGCTGCTGGGTCATGCTTTCTGTGCTGGTTATTCTTTGAGATGAAGTCTTGCTCCCTGGCTGGGTGCATGCTTGGACCAAGACCTTCCTACTCTGCTTCCTGCTGTGTCTGGATGGCAGGGTGCCAACACAGCAGCTTCTTCCATTAAGATGGGTTCTCCCAGACTTTTCTGTTAAGGCTGGCCTGGAACCGGGGTCCTCCTGACCTCAGCTTCCCACTCAGCTGGGGTGCTAGGTACACGTCACTGCACCCAGTGATGGGTCCTCTGCCCGGGCTAGCTAGCTTCTGCATGTGACTCTCTGAATCTCAGCCTTCCGGATTGCTAGGAGTACAGGTGCAAGACACCAGCACTCGGGATGCATGGCATCTCTGCAGGCTGGCAGGGTTAGGAACTGGACACATTAGGGCCTGAGGGTTCTGATGCCTTCATCTTAAGGAGGGCTCACCTAGCTCTAGGGCAGTGATGGCAGAACTGCTTCTCAGAACTGCTCAGATACCTGACCTGATCACACCCAGTCACTAAGCACAGTGGGGCTGTGGGGGTGCACTGTCCATCTGCTGCATGGCTGTGGGTCTCCACACAGCCCGAAAACCCAGGCAGAGGTGGAGAAGCCAGGTGGGCTGGGAGGAGGGGCCAGGGAAGCCCAGGGCGGGGCCAGGTGGGCTGGGAGGAGGGGCCAGGGAAGCCCAGGGCGGGGCCAGGTGGGCTGGGA